CGAGTGTCTCATCAGCAGCAGCAGCAGAGTCGGCGTCAATGGCCTCCCATCTCGTTCGTTCCTTTCGCACTTCGCGCGCCAAATCCTTTGATAACTTGCTGAATATAATTCGTGATACAATTGTTAACGTTGCTCGATCGCGCGCTACATAGGGGCCGTCCATAAATGACGTCACGCACCTAGGGGGAGAGGGGAGGGGGTCAGACATTTGTGACGATGTGTGACGAGGGGGGGGGGGGGTTTGAGAAATGTGACGTCACATCAATATGCGCAACTTTCAATAAATATAAACTCTGCTTAATTAAATAGACTTTTTAGTAAATGTTTTCACCTACAACATCAGAGTGCAGCGCCACATTAAATACGCACTACAATGACTAATATTTTAAAGCGATTTGAAGCATGTTTTATATATTTTTTGGGGGGGGGGGGCAGAGCTTTGTGACGTCATATTTTAGGGGAGGTCTGACTTAAAAAATCGTCCAAAATCGCGTGACGTCATTTATGGACGGCCCCATAGTTTGCCTGGATTGAATCTGTTACAAAGTTCATGTACTGTAATGGGAGCGGTTGAATAGATCAATACTGTGGTCAAATTCGACCTTTTTCTGTGGGCGACTGCTTGCATTGTGAACGACCAAAAGCTATACGAAAGTAAGCTACACGTTTTTATTTTATTTTACCAGATACGGCCCACTGAGCTATGTAAAAGCATCGCAGGGCGATGCAACGAATCGATCAGTTCGCGATTCGACTAATCGTCGCGATTACATCCAACGATCGATTGTTATTCACCATTGCGGCGAATGATGCGGTCACGAGCGGCTGATAAGGATCACTTGGAAAACTCTACAACTTTTTTACAGCTTCTTGGTTCTTTCGGTAAAGTCACGTAGAATGGAAACAAAAGTAATAAAAATAAAACATACCGAAAGAACCAAGAAGAACCAAGAAGATGAATCCCTGCAGTCGAGAAGGCTTTAAATCGAAATTTAACTTTTTCCAGTACAAGCAACATCGTGACCCTAAGAACCGATATTGATCGACTCGTCATGACAGCCGTCACGAATCCTGGACATCTGTAGACAAATAGCTTCAGAAACTCACCGGATTCCTCCAGTGGGGGGGGGGGGGGGGGGTGTTGGTGGGGGGGAATGGTTGGGGGGGGGGATGGTGGTGGTGGTGGGGGGAGAAGTCTATGAAGCTCTGGTTGGGGGGTACTGATCCACGGATCATCACCACAGCGATTGCGTGGCGAATTTATCCGTGGCCCTGGCGAGAGCTGGAAACTCGCCCTCGGTTCGCTTTGCTGCACCCACCTACGACGCGACCGCTTCCCCTTCTCCACCCACCCACCCACTCACTCCACCAGCCGGTGTCTAATAAATAACGAGCCTAGCCGGCGTGCGTGCGTGTTTGTTTATTTGTGGAGGGAGGCTCGTCCGGCGGTACATGCGTCACCCCCATCCCATTGCCGCGTATGCGAGCGGGAGCTATTTTATTCGCAGCAGGAAACTCCTGGGCCGTATCGTGAGTAAGTCGTAGATCAGCCTAAGTCGGTCACGACATCAGGCAACAGCAGCAACAGCAGCAACAGCGGCGGCGGTAATCCGCGGCGTTTGCAGGAACTGTGGTGGAACCCGATACGATTATGACCCGGACAAAACATTACAAAGGAGGTGGTGGTTGATGGTGGTGGTGGTGGTGGTGGAGGACTGCGATATATCTCAAAGAAAACAGTCGTCCGCTCAGAGGATAAAAGCAGAGGAGGAAGCACCTGCAGGGAAAGCGGAAGCCGCGCGCCTGCAATTGCACTGGGATGGGGGGTTACAGAAACAAAGCTGTCGCTCGGCAGAGCTGTCGTGTTCTCTCTGCTGCTTTTGTATTTCTCGAAACGTACAGTGACCACCAAAGGTGCTGATGCAGAGAGCGTGCGTCCCCACACCCACCCCCACCCCCCCCGCTGAAGGTCGCAGTTTTAGATTGAGAGCGTGGTGTTGTTCATTTGTTGAGCTTCATTCGTCTCACGTTGAACTGTTTTCGCGCCGTACGAGGGCCAACCGTTGCCAATCGGAGGCACGGGGGACGACAACTGAACACGCACAAAACATATTTATTGCGCTTTGAAGAAGGGCCATTACCTGAAACGTCGCCTATTATATATTTTACCGTTAAGGCCACAGTCTTGTTGGTGATCGTGTTGAGTTTTTTTTTTTCATTTGTGTTATGTGTTTATGTATATTGTATGTACCGTATCGTATGGTGCTCAGTTTGGAATATTGCATGTTGCGTTCCGTAGATGGTTTCCTCGATGGGTACATTGTTTTTATTATAAATCACGTTGAAATAATGCACGGGTCTCTTATGAAACCGCAGCTATGTGTTTTCGTATCGCGATTGTTAACAGCAACATAATGTACTGTAGATGTGAAAGTTAAAAGTTACACATTTTTATTTGGTCGTGAAATGGTCTACTTAAAACATATAATGCATGAAGCGCGTTATGTGTGTATATGAACTTCTTTCGCACCGTACGTAGCCAACCGTGCTAATCGGTGGTGCGGGGGAAGGACAACAAACATAGGCACAAAAAGCAGTTTTAAAGAAGTAACTTTAGAAAAGTCCACATCTCCAGTGGCGTCCTGACATCGGAAGGAAGAGCGTTCCAGAGGGCTGCAGAAGCGCATCTGAATCATTGCCCTGCAACGAGAGTAACAACAACAACAACAACTTTAATGGTCGATGTCAATCCACTACAGTGCTGTTACAGGGTAACATACATACCCACCCTTCACCGTATTATTCGTGGGGGGTTGACGGATGGGTGGGGGGGGGGAGGGCCTTGGTGTTTGGACCATACTTCACCACGCTGGTCAGTACCGGTTGGTGAAAGAACGTGTTGGGGGCCCAGGTCCGGTTAGAGATCTCACCTCTGACCGCTGGTGCTCTATGATCCCTGGCTAGGAAAGCAACTGGCAGCTTGTGATACCGGTTTCATAGCAAGGCGCACTAAATAACAACCACTGATGACTCCCGCTTCACCCACGAGAACTACCACGGGCAGAGATACAAACAGATTATATAAGTCTCGCATCTCTTTTGAAAATCCACAGGGCCGGGTCAAAGCCTCCCACGAGTTATCGGCATAGCTTTTGACCACTCTTGCCCACAATTCACAGCAAACGCAGCCGGCTCTGCTACGTGCCAAAGACAAAGATCTCCCCGTTGTAGCCTTAACAGACTGCTAGGGCGAGTGCTGTTAGCGAGCACCTATGAAGGCCGGCACGGCACACGAGGTGGTGGGTGGCCAGCACCACGCCCGGCCGCCTTTGTCTCCCCAGGACCGGTTCAACTAATGGTCACTGATGTTGGCCGTGAACTCGGGTCGCCGGGTTCGTAGCGCAGCGCGCTAACCGCGACACGACCGCTCCCTCTACGTACCATATACAGGGTGCTTCAAAGAAATGTTAACACTTCGGGGAATTTGCAACAATACCGCAAAAAATGTGCCTCCGGGCTCTGGAGATCATCTGGAGAAGATTCCAGGCACGTGTTGACTTTGATGACGAACAAGTGGAGACTGACTTTTTTAATCTATTAACGTTACATTTGTAATCACGTTACAGTGTTGTTATGGCAATGATGGCGAATAAGTGAAGACTTTTTGAAGCTATTAACATACATTTGTTGTCATTTCACAGTGTATTATCCGTTCTTTTTCCATTAAAAACGATAGTCCCATACAAGTTTAACACGTAGGCTTTCGCGACCAATATCATCCATAATAGAGATGTTTCGGTTAGATCGCGTAAATATGTGTCAACATTATTTTGAATCACCCTGTACCCCGCCGTCTCGCATTCGCATGCATTGCTGCGGCTCTTGAAATAGTGCTGAGTTGTTTCCCGAATTGGAACTAAATTGGCTCTTCTCGTTATTTTGGTTAACCGACCCCACGTATACATACTACACATGTGTGGTGCTTAATATATTTGCCGTGTTAATATATCGGTGTGCTCACTTTCATGAATGCAGCATAATAAGCACTCTGATCGGCAATTAATTACGTTTAATAATTCATAAACTGTGCTATGCGTGAACAACTTTATTAAGACTCGCCTATTAAGGCACACTCAGAGGTAGTGTGAGCACACACCCATTACAAAGACCCTCCGTGTAGCCTTCACAGACATTTGGGGCAATTGTTGTTAGCGAACACCTATTAAGGCCGGCACGGCACACGAGGGGGTGGGTGCATTACAAAGACAAAGATCCCCCGTATAGCCCCAATAAATTGTTGGGGCAAGTGCTGATAGCGAGCACCTTTGAAGGCCGGCACTCCCGTTCATACGCACACACACACACACGTGTACACAATACATACATGCACATACCTATCTATATAGTATCCCTCTATAGCCTTTATTAGGCTGTTGGGGCAAGTGCAGTTAGCGAGCGCCTATTAAGACCGACACGGCACACGAGGGGGTGGGTGGATAGTAACCGCACTCATGTGGCGATGTTTACACACAGCACCAGGTACACTCATTTTCAGCTGAGTCGATCTAGGGGAGGCCCAGGACCGGTCCAGACAGACGTCGCCGGTGTTACAAGGTTGTGAGCGGAATCCGAACCACTCGACTTCCGCACATCGAACGCACTATACACCGCACACGTGCAAAGACAAAGATCCCCCGTATAGCCTTAACAGACTGTCAGGGCAAGTGCTGTCAGAGAGCACCTATGAAGGCCGGCACGGCACGCGAGGGAGTGCGTGACCAACACCACGCCCGGCCGCCTTTGTCTCCCCAGTGGCGATGTTCACGCACCGCACCAGGGACTGATTTGAGGCTAAATCGACCTAGGGGAGGCCCAGGACCGGTTCAAATAATCGTCACCGGTGTTGGCCGTGATCGGGAATCTAACCCGGGTCGCCAGGTCCGTAGCGCAGCGTAGCGCTAAACCGCTGCAGAGTCTCTAACACCCGCGTGGCGTTGCAGGCAAACCGCTGCTGTGGGCCCCCTTCCTGCCGCGGCCCGCACACAAGCGCAAGGGCGGCCAGGTGCGCTTCAGCAGCGAGCAGACCGTGGAGCTGGAGCGCAAGTTCGAGCGGCAGAAATACCTCTCCCCCGGCGAGCGCAAGGGCCTGGCCAAGCTGCTGCAGCTCAGCGAGCGACAGGTGAGAGGCGGGAAGGGGCGAGAGGTGGAGAGGAGAAGCGGCGGTGGCTCTTGGAATCCGCGGGTTGCCGATGTCGTTACTCGTCGCCACGTTTGGAACAGGACGCAGCGTGCGTGGCGTTTCCACGAATTGATTCGCGGACGTCCCAACGTTTAGACGCCTCGTGCGAGACCCCCAAACGTCGCACGCCCCCCCCCCTCCCTCCCTCCCGGCGTTGACTTTCCTCCTCGAAGACACTGCCGTCGCCATCGACCGTAACGGGACGTCAACATGCACCCCCAAACTATGGAGCCACATGGTGAAATCCATAGAGACACGTGGATATACTTGGAGAACCATAGAGAGAGAGATAGAGAACCAATGGGGATGCATTAAAGACAAGCCACATAGTGCGATTGTGGCCATGAAACCCAAACTTACAGTAAACTCACTGTAGTCTGCGCTCCTACAACAAAGGAGAAGCAGCCAAACTGCGCCAACTCTCTCCTGAAGCCCTCTCATCGTCGCTAGCGGACATCAACATTGCCATTCAGCTCCTGAAGCATGTTGCTTCCATCGTACGCAAGGACAGAGTGGAATGTGTACGCGTATATTTATATATGTCCCACTTAAGGCCACGCAGCGTTATCGTTGGAGAATGTGTTTGATTTGGTTTTGTTGTTTGTGTTCCGTGTGCGGAGCGGTAGTGTAGCGTTTAGCGCGCTGCGCTACGAAGCCGGCGACGCGAGTTCGATTCCCGCTCGTGGCCAACACCAGTGACAATTATCTGAACCGGCCCTGGGCCTCCCCTAGGTCAAATGAGTACCTGGTGTAGCGATGTGTAAACATCACCACTTGGGAGACTAATGGGACTGGGCGTGGTGCTGGCCAGCCCACCCCCTCGTGTGCCGTGCCCGCCTTCATAGGTGCTCGCTAACAACACTTTCCCCAACATTCTGTTCAGGCTACACGGGGGGGTCTTTGTCTTTTGTGCACCACTGCCAACGCAGCAGCATCAATTGCCAAATAATGTATTTGATGTGGACGTGGATCAGACTGGGTTAGGGGGAAGCCTGCTGCTGCTGCACTGGAGGTTGTTGTGGGTTATCACTGCACGCAGTTTTTATGATTTGCTGCCGAGGGCTTCGGCGCGTGGCCCACCCTTTTTATTTTCTCACGGGAAACAAGAAGTTAACAATGCCTCTTTGAGTGAGTGTCGGTTCGAGCGGCTCCTCGAATTATTTTTTGGTATTTAATAGCGAGAAAGGATGCTTGCGCGAGTTTGTCAACAAGCCGACTCCTTGCATTAGGGTGATCCTTACCCGTGCGTGAAAATTCCATGCCGCATGTTCAGCGGTGCCTTGTGGCAATCCACTGCTGCGTGACGGTCTCCCCATGCCGTGCGGGTCGTTACGAGCACACGACACCACGCTGGTCAGCACGCGGGTTGGGGAAGGCCGGAGGAGGGCGTAGACGTGAGACCATAGGAGTGCGGTGAAGTGTACGGTAAACTACTGTCGGTGCTGGATACTGCTGCGGTGCAATCTGCTGACTTGCCACGTCGCCTTTCGCAACCTGTCATGCGCAGTGGATCGCCCATCCCAACACTTTGGAGGCTCCAACCTGCTCAGCTACTGAGATCTTGACGAGGTCACTGGTGCATTCTGGGTGATTTAGTCATATTGAATGCACGCACAGTCCAATTACAAAGGATTACGAGGGATTGCATTTGAAGACGTTGCACTCAAGCTTCAGACTTCTTTCACTCGTAATTCACTGCCACGGATCGCGTACGTGTGGCATCTCTCATATTTGAAGAGGAAACAGTGCAGTGGGTGAGCGGTGACGCAGCAGCTTGTGTGCTCGCGCTGCGAATACGGCGACCGGAGTTATTTTCACGGCAAACGGCAAACAAACAAAAAAACGGCGGTCGACATCTTAAGCGGTTCCGACCCTCTTCCTTCTCCGTCCTTCACCAGCACGCACTGATCAGCGTGGTGAAGTATGGTCAAAATAACCGCATGACCGAAAGGCGTGGGGGAGTCTTCATTCAGTGGAGGATCGATCGGGGGGGGGGGGGGTGAGTTGTTTACCAATCATCAGGCAAGTGCAGCGCGTAAAAAATACATTTGTATTCGAAAAAATATCGGTAAACACTGAAAAAGATGTATCGTGCAAGAGCATGCAAATATTGAGTTGTATGTACAGTTAAAAACGAAAGGTCTCCCGTATAGCCTTAACAGACTTTTGGGTCAAGTGCTGTTCGCAAGCACCTATGAAGGCAGGAATGGTGGCATACGATGGTATAGGTGACCATAACCATGCCCGGTCGCCTTTATCTTCCTAATGGCGATGATTAGACACCACACCAGATACTTATTTGAGGCTGAGTCGATCTAGGGGAGGCCCAGGAACGGTTCTGATATCCTTCACTGGTGTTGGCCATGAGCCGGAATCGAACTCATTTTCGCCGGGTTCGTAGCACGGCGCGCCAGCCGCTCCGCCGCCGCTTTATATACGGTACACGCATAGCTACAGCACACACGTGCACAAGTGTCCGCTCACGGAAGGCGTGTGCGCGCGTGTGTGTGTGCGTGCGAACGAATGCAGGTGAAGACCTGGTTTCAAAACAGGAGGGCGAAGTGGAGGAGACTCAAGCAGGTGAGAGCCTTGGCCACTCGGCTCTTTACGAGCAGCCTCCTCCTACGTTTGCTCTGCTCTTTTTCTTTTACTGGAACACATTTAGGCGGCAGTAAAACAAACGGATTGTGGGCGGGGGCGAATGAAATGAATAATAAAATAGTACACGTAACACATTTTACAAGTCGGCGTCGATGCTTCTTAAAATGGCTTATATGGACCGTATAACGTCGTACGTGTGTACGCACGGGCCCTACGCCGTGTAAGGTCATGCGGAGGTTGGCCATACTTCCCCCATGCTGGTCAGTGTGGATTGATGAAGAGGGGGTGGGAGTCAGATATCACCCCAGGCCCTTTTGATATTAGCTGTGGCTAATAACCACACCTGTTCAATATAATTGCGTGCTCAATCTTAACTGAGTATACTTTGGTCGTGCACACACTAAACGTGTGCTTTATATAAACAAGTGCTCTCTTTCTGCAAGTGCTCCCTCTAACCACGTGCTCAATCAAGCCATGTGCTGCTCACTCTAACCACGTGGTCACTAACCACGTGCTCTGAACCCTAACCACGTGCTCAATAAAGCCACGTGCTCACTCTGAACAAATGCCCACTCCACGTGCTCAATCAAGCCACGTGCTCGCCCGAACAATGTGCTGACGTGCTCGCAATGAACACGCCATCAATCTCGTCTTCACCAGGAACTACCGTCAGACGGCAAAGTGGAGTCTGGAGAATCCGGAGCCAGAGCCGATCCCTGCGGACCCCCCTCGGACTGCAGTCGCTCCGACAGCCCCCCCACCGTCTCCTCTGACGATAGCGACGAAGATGTGGACGTGGATGAACCCAACTAAGGACTGCCTCCACTCACCGCCCTTCCCATCACACCCCCCCTCCACAACCCAATTGTCATTTGGCTCCCGCCACCAACACCAGCAATCACCCTGCACCCCTGAGCTAAACCATGGACTCACGTTGGAAGGTATAATGAATGGTATTGTATTGTTGGAGCCACTGTGTTGTACCACTGGCCCGGCAGCGGACCAATGACGGCATCTCGTGCACATACGAAACCTCGTACGCTTATTGGAACGAAGAGATACAACCAAGAGGTGAAACGCAACACGTGCTGGGAATTTCTAGGAACACGTCAATTGGAATGTGGCAGAAGCAAATATTGTGCAGAGCTACGGAGATCGGGGGGCTCCTCAAGATTCCTCGCGACCCAAATACCAGTTTCCTCCGTTCATATGCAGAGCAGTACAAGCTGCTCACGCCTCGTTATTGCTGAACATCAACGCCATGCGCAGTAGAAATAACAACAAACTCAACACGTTCGTCAATAACTCCGTGGCCTGACAAGGAAGCGTGTATAATGGGTGACGTTTCGGGCAATGGCCCTTCTTCATGTGCTACGCATATATATTTCCATTTTAAGGCCACGCTGGCATGGACAAATGTGTTGAGTTTTATTTGTATTATTATTTGCGCTTGTGCACCATTGCCGACGCAGTATCTGCCGTGTACAGCAAATAGTTGTTATTTTTTTTATAACGCTTGAGCATTATTGAGCATGCACGATGTTTGCTGCTGTAACCCACCTAACGTGTTCGTGGGAGAGTCCCTACGCGTGTAAAGTGCGGACAGTGTTAAAGTAATCTCTCCTTTTTGCTTTTGTGTCTGCATCTCTTTCGCACAAAATCGATGGGACGAGAGGATGAACCCGGTTTGATTGGGGCAATCACGTGTGCTCCTCTAGAGCGTTTTTGGCGTGCTGTTTCATTCAATATTCCATAGCATTAAGCACCAACTTTATATGTATGGGGTTGATTTAATTGTTGTTTATTATTATTATTATTATTTTGTCGTTGGCCTGTACATTGCATTGCACATTTACACGGTCAATGGATGCAGCATTTTCGTTTCATCTCACACATTCATATCACTTTCAGGTTCCGCTGAGTGTCTAATATTGCCCATCATGATTATAAAGTGGTATTCGCCTCTTCAAGCCTTTTACATTAAATGTACAATGCACAGCCCTTTCGTTAATCCACTGCTAGATGAGAGCCTCTGTGGGCCCTGAGGGTTATTGACCCACATATGGGCCTCCCTGAGGTCAACTCGGCCTTAAACGAGTACCGTGTGTAAACGGTACTCGTGCAGTGTGTAAACTTGAGCACTGGGGAGACAAAGGCGGAAGAGCATGGTGTAGGCCACCAGCCCCTTCTTGCTGCGTGCCAGCACTTGCCCCAACAGTCTGTTCAGGCTATACAGGGGATCATTATCCGTGACAACATATCACCACGTTTGTACGTGCGGGTTGGAGAAGGTGGGTGGGCATAGACACAAGATATAGTGCAGTACAACAATGTGCCTCTCCACAATCTCGCGTCGCCTATAGCACCTGCTTATGCATAGGCGGTCACCCATCAAAGCAATATCCAGGCTCAAACCTGCTTAGCTTCCGAGATCAGGTACATTCCGTGTGACTTGTTCTTAAGCCTCTCGATTATTACACATACAGGGTGGCCCAATGGGCAGGACACATAGGGTGATTTAATTTATTTTAACACAGGCATCCAAACATTTGACTTGCGTATTATTTAAGTTAATATTTTATCTTTTATCATTATTCATATCGATTTTTCTTCTCCGTACTGTTGGGTCAACTCAAATTCGTTGTTTACAAAAACTCGACTAAGAACCCGGAGTGAATTGAGACGAAACATAATTGATGAATGTTGAAAGATTACACGCCTGTAATCTTTAGGGGGCGGGGGGAAGTCCTAAGTTCACTTCCCGACGAGAATTGTATTCATCGTGCATTAATGTGAATGGAAGTCTTTAGAACCCCGTGTAATTTGTTGAAATAATTACTATAACAACTCTATTCGTGTCCTGACTTTTGGACCACCATGGAGAACACTTCACAGAGACAAATAAAAACGTGTACATGGACTCCTCTACTTATGAACGAGTTAGGTTCCAGAGGTCTGTTCGAAAGTCGATTTGTTCGTTAGTCCAACTTTACTCCTGTCGATTCCAAACATGTTGTACGCCATGTACACTAAACACGGGGAATGGCTTTTCGTTGCATAATCTCCTGTAGATGTAGATGCCCCTGGCTCTTCATGTTCTACAGATGTAGATGCCACTGGTTCTTCACGTTCTGTAGATGTAGATGCCACTGGTCCTTCACCTTCTGCAGATGTAAATGCCACCACCGCCATCTATTGCGCGGCGGTTGAACTTACGACTCTCGGTCCGAACAGGCAACTGGACATACAGACAGATTTGTTCGTATCTCTGAAAGTTCGTAAGTCGAATGTTTGTAAGTTGAAGAGTCCCTGTACTGTCTAGGCGACTGTGGGACGTCTCCAACGTTTTGACACAATTCTCGAATGTTCAGGCGATGTGTAATTTTCAGGTAGTGTTGATGGATGTTCAGGCAGCCTGTATGGGCTGTTACTGAGCAGCTTGAATGTTTATGGGTTTTTGTGTATGAACTGTGTGATAAATTGACCAGACGGAGAATTGTTGTGCAACATTTTCTCCAATCGAAGACACCGGTGGTATAAAACTATGAGCTATGAATGGGTTTCCGTTTTATGATAAAATCTGTTTTTTTGGTTTTAAATGTGTACAGTTTGTGTTGTGTATATGTACATTCGTAATTAAACTAACACAGTACAGTACGAAATGTTGTACTGTAACGATGATGAGATATAATTTACCCTATGGTGCGGAACTTGACCAATCATCTGGTTTGGGGCGTGGGTATAGCAAATGGCTGTGAGTTTCAACGCATGACGAATATGAGCCGACACTGAAGACCTTGAGGTTTTATTTCCAAACGTGGATATTTTAAAACAGTTAAAACCACGTGCGTTATTGATATCATCGGGCACTTTACACCCACCCGTTCGCTATCACCGCAACTCCATAACATGTAGATGTTCTGACCTTTGTTCACGTGTGCAAGCTACGTAGGTATACTTGGCAGATGTATAGTGCCCGTTTGCAGGCGAGGTGCTGGCTGAGTAAGCCTTTGTGTCGTACAGGGCCAGCTGCTGCTGGAGGGTGCCCCTTTCAAATGTGTTGAGACGTGAGATGTAAAGCGCTCCTGATCCACTGCGAGAGGATGGCTATATCAAAACCAAATCAGTATCATTTTACATTTTTACATACACACATGCACACGTGTAAGCATTTACACATAATTTATATGAGAGATACCCCAAAACTAATACCTCTTATTTGTTATATAATTCTTTATTGAATTTATCCCAAGTTGTATATAATGATTAATGGAATTGCCAAACATTTGTCAGATGGCGTGAGGCCTTCTGCAATTCGATAAAAGGTCTAAGGACACTGTGCGCTTAATATTTTTTTAAAGGAAGTTTAGTACCTAGTGAGTCTGAACACACGAGGGACAACAAGCACGGATTGGATCGACTGCTTATATGCCCCATCGACCGTTAACAGCCCAGATCTGGCACCTACACTTTGTCACAATCTCCGTGTTCCTTGAAAGACTAAAGATGAATTGGGACAGTTTCTTGCGTGTGTGTGATGACGCTGCTGTCTCTCCAGGACGCTGTTGGCAAATGGCTACACGGTGCTGATGATCTGGTATCAATTCCCACGTACGCATTAAGGGTTTTTGACGAGGATAGATGATTTGGCGATGCTGAGTTGGCAGCTGCACCAATTAAGACACAAATGCAACACACCGTGTTATTGCGCAATGTGTTGTTTTATTTCCAGATAAGGAATAGATAGATAAGAGTGTTTGGCCAAATATTCATGACATTCTCGCGAACGAAAATGGGAAACTTTGTATCGTGTATGATGTTGAACTTCTTTCGCGCCGTACGTAGCCAACCGTGCTAATCAGAGAGCTTAATACATAGCGGTGGATCAAGTGAATAGCAGGTATTCATTTTCAGGACATCTGTTGTGTACGCTCACACACAGATAGATATGCACCCAGTGTTAGATCCATAATGTGCGCCTTATCATCTGGCAGCCACCGGTATAAATCGTAATTACACAATATTGTGTCGTCATGTACTGTACATACGTAGTGGTTAAATTAAATGCTGTGATGAATGTGTGGTGGTGTACAAAACGTGCTTTTTGTTATTTACGAAATAAAATTGTGTTTTTTTCCCACGTATTTTTTGTATAATTTTAATTTCGCATAAGTCAACACGCGCAACAAACACGTAAATATACAGTAAAAGGTCATATATATGTATACTATATGTGTATATGAAAACACGCAGGTTTTCCCGAGCAATATTATAACCTCGAGTTTTTTTGTTTTAGTGTGGGTTAGATCGTGGAGGTATAATGTCAACCAATTCCATTGCCATATTTGCACATGACGTAAACACTTTTATTTGATTTGCCCTGTCGGCTCGTGAAGTGGTAGCCATTTGAAAGGTTACTTTTCACCCCCACGACATATCCCCAAAACAAACTTAAACACGAATAAAACAAGGTTTTATTTTACCACGAAAATAAAACCTTTGTCCATTTTCCTGCATGCCTTAAGGCCAATCCTTAACGTTTAGATCATCACGATCCATGGGGTAGATAGCCTGCTACGTATATATATACATACGGAAATATATCTCTCTCTAAAATAACACGTGTGTTAATTAACGTAATAATGTAGTCGATACACGTGTCCATAATGTGGAGATGCGGTGGTGTAGCGGACAGCAAAGCTGCATCACGGCGACGCAAGTTCGTTTCTTGCCCACGGCTAACATCAGTGGCGCGTGAAATCCAAACCTATCGGTCCTGCGGCGTCTCCCACACACGAAGCAAACCCGCACTGCCCAGCGTGGTGAAATATGGGTGAACAACTACCCCCTCTCCACGATCGACACGTTCGTTGTTCCGTAATGAAGTTTTTTTTCTTCCGGTTAGATCGCATACATATAAGTGTGGCGTTAAACTAACATTCGTGGGTAAAATATGACAATTTTTTCACCTGATATATTTTTTCACCTGATGACGATTGCTTGTGTTGCGATCGAAACGTCGTGATAATTGTATTATTTTTTCTGTCTACGTGGCTTTACCGAAAGACCCAACGAATATGAATTCCTGCAGTCACGATAGCTTTAAGTATAGTGTCTAGTAGTGTATAGTGCAGTGCATAGTCGTGTATAGTGTAGTAGTGTATAGTGATGTCGTGCTGGAGTCTGTCGCTAGGGAAAGGGAGGTCCGGACCGCCACGACTCAACTGCTGCCGCCGCCATCCTCACCAGGACCAGCGGATTGAGAAACTAAAGAACGAACCACACATAAACTATAATACGAATATTTAAGCATTGCTCTGTTACGGAATATATTAATCCATGAGCGTATTAGGATACAAAAATGCTGCACAAGAGGCAATTCGAGATTTTCCATCACAAAAGACCATCCAGATGAAATACAAATGATAGTTTTGTATGTAGGCTCTAGTTCCATACACAGAATTACAGAAGGCACCCGTAGTTGACTGTTAAACATGTCCCACGTCCATTGTTTAGCCAAATCGTCGCATTATATATTTTAAAAAAAACACACAGATGTGGTTGCAATTGATTAATTGAATGATTGCTAAAGTAAGAGTGCTCTTTACGCATCCATCAAGTTTGTCCAGAATTACAGGGAAACGTATTTATAGGAACTCGGGGTCTGGGATGGAGCGGTGTCGCAGTAGTTAGCGCAGGGCGCGGTGATTGTTGTGAAATCTGAACAGATCTTGTCCGCCAACCAGCACGGATCAGCGTGAAGAAGTTTGGTAAGAAAATAACAAGCCCTACGATCGACAGAGTGAGGGAGGGAGTCGCTATCCAGCAGTGGATACACAACGATTATTGTTCGAGTAAAGATAATGTGGGGATTACGTGTCACGTGATTAGCCGTCGGAAGAAGTAATGTTGGGGGCTTAACATCAGTTGTGCTGATGAAACACATGTTATCTCAACCGTATTACATAGAAATGAATAAAAACACATTTTATCATCTATAAATTAACGCGAATATATACTTAAATAACTATGTATTTATTATTTCATCATTTAATGGACTCAAATAATAAATATAGATATTCTATAACTATAAATTGCGAAAAATATTCTCAACCTCATCACCGCATTTAAATAAATATATTTTACATTTAAGGCCATCGGTTAGTTGGGTCCTGCATCCTTCAAGCGTGCAATAATTATCTGAACAAATTCGCGTCTCTCCTATAGGTTCACTCAGCCTCAAATGTTTACACGTAAGTGAGAGAGCGCATATGCACAATCACTGGGGGGGGGGGGGGGGTGGATAAGGCGGTCGGGAATTCGTTTGTGGACGCAACTTCCACCCCTTGTGGTGTTGCCCTGCCGCCCTCAATAGGCGCTCGCTAACAATGCGCTCGCGGAAGAATCGGCGAGTTCACGTTGCGACGCAGGAGAGAGCGAGGGAACGCTCGACGGTAAATCTCAACGACAAATGTTGAACCCATTTAAAACCCTTTTTGGGTTATATTTGTTTAATTTGTTTAAACGTTCGCACAAATGGATCGATGTTTTGGAACCGCTCTTAACATGCCCCTCTGCGGCTTTCGCCGAATTGACACGAAGGCGCTTTTTAACATACTATATATGAGCGTGCTTTGTTGTGAGAGAGCTCAATGTTCTTGCGTTTGCACCGATCCAAAAGCTCCACCTTGCTGGTGTAAGCGCGCACGAGTCTCTCTGTTGGCTGAGCGGCGTTTGCCTCCAGTAGCTCCCTCGCTCCCTCGCTCTCACTCTCTCTGCGTTTGACCCAAACTCCGGTCCGCACAAACCGTCACGGCGGCTCCGTCTTTCCGCGTTTACCGATGTTACTACTTTACCCCCCCTCCTCCTCCCGTTCTAATGCTAATTAAGTCCTACCGCACGCGCCCGATGATTGTTTAAACACGTCTCACGCGACGCGTTAGGCAAAAGCACGATGTCTGCGTACATGGAGAGCCGATTGTAATGAAGCTTGATATTCATAACAGGGTTTTTTTGTTGTTGGTTAGATCGCGTA